GTCATTGGCTACTTTAATCCTAATTCCTAATCATATAATTAAGAATGTGTATGGTAATATTTTAGAACTTTCAAGAACAAATCTGCTATCAAATGTTTTTTTTAACCTAATGACATTTTATATAATTTGATCTGAAATCATTTTATTTTAAAAAAAGAACTAGCCTAATGATATGTGTAATTTTGAAAGGAGGAGTATTATTTATTTATTGAACGATTATGAGGGAAAGACACGCGTAAGTATGTAATGTCATTCAACAAAAGGTAAATAAGAAATTAATAAAAGAATTGTTTGTTTTGACGAATATGATGGGTGTGGACATGATCTCAATCAAATGTGTATATATATAAACCTTGGATGGTTAACAAAATCCTAAATAACACGTTCCGTGTGTCACAGGAATTCATAAAAGAAGCATTTTCCTTTCGGAAAACAACTTTAGGTCGGCGTTTATTATGTCAAAGTCAACTCTTCTTTAATGAAACGAGATATTAGCAAAGTCATATACTCCCTCCGTGTTACGCAAGATTTTGTTTTTTGTTTTTTTTTTTTATTTTTTTTAATAAAAAAATTAACTATTATTATTTAGTTTTTTATATGTAATATTAATTATTTTTTATGTATATTCCTAATAATAAATTGTGTAATATTTTAATTTTTTTTGTTTTACTTTAAGTGTCACATTACTTATGTGATAATAAGTCACATATCAACATTAAAATTTAATAATTAATGGATGATAAATTAATAATAAAATTAAAATTTTATACTTTAAAATTAAAAGATTAAATATCTCTATTTTAAAATAAAAAAAATTAAAATTACTAATTGAAAAGAATATAAGGATAAAAAATGAACATGTTTTTTATAATGTTTTGTTGGATCACTTTCAACAAAGAAAATTAAGTAACAAGTTATTTTATAAAATTATTATATTTATTTGTTGACTTATTTACTAATTTTTTTTATTTGTAAAAAAAAATATAGTACAACATTTTTATGAGATGGATGAATATGTTAAAACCGATTTTAGGTCAAATTATTCTTAAAATAAAAATTTAAACTTAACTCAACTTTATAAAACAAATTTATAAAATTAGGATTGTCTTCTACTCATTTGAATATATTGTTGGTTGATATAATATATTCAACACACTTCATTAATTTGTTACGTTGAATAATTTACATCTCAAATATAAAATTTGTGATTATATATATATATATATAAGTGATTCAATAATTATTTGATAATAAATGATATACTATCTATAATTCAATTGATATAATAAATTTTTATATAATATTAAATAAAATGTCAATTTGACTTCATCTTAATTAATTTTTACAAAACAAGTGTTACTCCTAACTTATAAATTTTATTTTAATTATGTCATTTGTTGACATTGATCTCCAACATACCCATCAATTATAATAAATATGGCATGCATGCATGGCAGCCAGCGAATTTGTCGGCAAGATCTACGGAAGTACTAGATAGACATAAACAATATCACCGGTAAATGTTAAAACATATCGAGAGAGAAAAAAAAAACTAATTAGCAAATAGAATCAAAGTAAGAAAGCCAGAGAGATAAAAAAATGAATAAAATTGTCTTATTTGAGTCAAACAAAAAAATTATGACCTCCAAATCATGTTCCCAAAAGAATATGTTGTATATATTCTATATGCTATATACACATACACACAAACTTAGATATAATAATATGAAGGAGGGAAGATGATAGGAAGTCCTAAGTGGATGAAGAAGTTGAGACACATTCCTGAGTCTTACAAGCTAGCAATATATATATATATGTATATTTTGTGGAGCTAATTTACAAGGTGTGGCAAGGTTAAGGTTGGTGGTGGTGGTGGAGGTGCATGATGAGCAACGACGTGGTTTTGAGCTAAAGTGCAGCGTCCACGACTACGGCCAGGAACGGTGGAACATGGGTTTCTTTGGGACCTTTGCACTGGGCCTCTTTGTAGTGACTGTATTATAAGCCTCTGCTGCAAAAACTGGCCCTCTTTTAATGGCCTAAATGCACATATTTGATGCAAACCCAATACCAGAATTGTTGTCAACACCAACATCTTCGTGTAGCCACCCATTATGATTGATCGATGAACAAAAGCAAAAGAGAAGATATGAATAGGATGAATTTAAGGATAGGTTTATATGTGTAATAAGGACTATAAATAAGGACACAACTAAGTAGGGTTTGTGGAACGTTTGCTTTGACCAAAACTCCGCGGTTTTCAAGTTGAGGAATTAGGAGAGTAAATTAAGGTTTAGATATTTGGAACCAAACACTTGGAAATTTCCTTGCGTTTGCGTTTGCCAATGCTGATTGCTGAGTCTAGTTGGCTAGTTGAATGAGTCCCCTGACCCATAATTAAGTTTATTCACGTTCAACGTTTCTACTTTCACAAAACTTTTGCTTCTGTTTCTTGTCATGCTACTTTATCACGCTTTAAATCTTCGCCACTGGCCCTACCACCATGACTATGTCAACCAATATAGAGCCATATTTAGATACATTTTTCTTTTATATATATATAAACATAAGAAAAAGAAGAAAAAAATTCCTAAATTAAAATTAATTTATACATAATTTTTTAAAATTAATATTAAAAAATTTATACAAAATAACTTATGCATAGGTTAGTTTTAATTTTTTTTAAAGTTTATTTTATTTCTTTTATCTTATTTTATTCCGCAACAAAACGTAAATTAGGCTCGGGCTTTGTTTAATTTTGTACCCAATATATCATTTGGCCCTTTATGTGATTGTCTCCTACAGACCAAAAAAGAAAAAGTATTTGTCTCCATTTGTACAATCCATATTAACAATAGCAATAATAATTGCATTTTCCCATTGTCTTGAAAATAATAGGCAAAGAATCACCGAATGTTTTATTTATTATTAGAAATTACTGTAGAGATAATAATAACAGAATGAGAGAAAGAAAATTTTAATTAGAACCTTCGGTGGTAACTGGTAAGCAGAATGAAACAAATTTACTAATCAGTATCAATTGAGCAATTTCAATCTTTCTTCCCGTAGCTGATTTGGTACACCGACAAATTAAGGATCATAAAAACGTCAATAGATTAAAAATGATAAAGTTTGACCCTAAACCAATAAACTAATTGACTAAATCAAACATATTTACCTCAATTTTAATTTCAGTATGTGCTCATTTTAATATTTATTTTGTTTAAGATTCAAAAGTGGAACTACATCATTCCGAACAGAACTAACTAGAATTTGTTCTCAGGAATTTTTATTTTTTTTACAGCATTAAGATAAGAAAAATATAGTTCGTAAGTTATGACAAATCTTAAATAGTTCGTAAGAAATTCATAAATTTATTTGACAAATCTTGAATAGTTCATCGATTTACATTTACTTAATAATTACTGTAAAGTAATAACATAATTCCTCAAGTATTTAAAACTTTTCAAATAAGTCTTGTACTTAAACGGAGATTAAGAGTATTCTGTCAAACTCAATGGAACTTAGTGCAAGAAGCCAAATAAAATTATTTTATAAACTTAGGGTCCAATTACGAATTGTTTTCTTTTTTTGACAACTCAATCACGAAATTTTAAAATATAAAGATCTATTTAAAAAAATTCAATGGATTAGTAGGTTAATTTAATCAAAAGGAACACATATGACGGCTTACACATTTGAAATGGTAAATGCTAGCGTATAAGGTATATTACTATGATACTAACTACGAATTTAAAGATAAAGTTTATACAAAAATGAAGTTTTTTATTAAAATAAAGTTTAAATGATTTTTTTTTGCGTAAAAAAAAACCTTTTTTAATTAACTGATAACATAGTATTTTTAATGATGATGTCTGAGTGAATTTTAATCAGTCTTTGGTTAAATTAAATATCATTCATGAATGTTTTTTATTCACGCTGCCCCCTGCCACTTAATTAAAGTGATCGACGTAAACGTAGGCTTATCTTTACCAAACAAAGATAAAATAAAACATAGGCTTATGATGTGCATAAGGATCCTAACTTTTTTTTTGGTGATATATTTTCTTTATGGTCATAGCATAAGGATCCTCAGTGTACATTATATAAGACATGCTCCATCACTGCTAATACAATCCTTAATATTATATGTAGACTACTGTAATTGTGATTTTAAATAAGTTGAAATAATTTATTTTTAAATTTTATAAAAATTATTTGATTAGGTTAAAAATGTGTATAAAAATATTCAAAGTTATTTTACAAATCTGTAAATTTTATATAAACTCTTCTAAAGGCTTTCTGGATTTATTGGTCAGGCCAATGCATTTTTTTTTCATCATGAAGGTTCATAAAATATTAGTCAATAATATAAAAATAAAGAACATTAATAATGTCTGGTAACATCTCAATATATCATATATTATGCTTTTCTTTAAATACCTTTCTACTTAATCTTAGCATCACGAGACACTCATTTGTACTACCCTTTTTTGCTATAATAAAACCATTATAATAATGTAAGAAATACTAATATATATTCTTTAGACACTTATTGAAGATTCAAAAATTGAAACCAGTAAATAATTTTTTTAATTATAATATTATAAATGTTATGACATCTTGTAATTTATAAGGAGCACACTTTACAGTGTTCCCACTTTTCAATATCCATCTCTAAGACAATAAATACATCCAGTACTGAAACTGCATCATAACCGAATATGCATCAGCCACATAATGAATGCTGACGAACCATGTTAGAATCAGAATTAATGTCAATTCAATCTCTTTCTAAAATGTCAAAATTTGCAAGAATGCCTCTTGCTCAGAATCAGTGGACAAAGCCCTACCATGGACATGTAACAAAGCACTATCAGAGCTAGAGAAAATTACCAACTTACGAAGGACATTTAAAAATGTTAGGGGGGAAAAAATCCAAGTCCAACACAAACACAATGAAACTTGCGAATCATAACTTAAAACCAAAATTATGGACCAAGAAAAAACAAAAAACCAAAATTTGTTCTCAATTAAACGAGTGTAATCCCATTGTGCCACACAACTTTATCATCTAGCAACCAAATAAAATACAAGTTGTACATTTTGGCTCATCATTAGCTTTCTAACTGGTCAAATCTATCCCAAGGCACAGGCAAGGACTTATTTTGATAACAGTCAATATAAATATGAATACAACACTTCTCTTCCAGATTATACAATTCTTTCTCTTGCTATATTTTAGCAGTAGAAAATAGAAAATCTGTTGATTTAGGTAACAAAATATATAGCTCCAATGATTCTCAACCTACTTATTGATACCCATGGTCTAAACACTCTCCATATGAGATCTTGTCTATCAAAATTTTTTAGTTGACCAAAAATGAGAAATGAGCCTAAAAAAGAATCACCAAATTAATGGGGATAACTAACTGGTGTTTAAGTAGGATTCCCAACCATGTTTTGATAATTTATCTCCTTTGCTCAAGACGATTTCTTTTTGGTCCTCTTGATATTGACTCATCCTGCACAATATTATAAATGGAAAGTGAGATAATGTTTCAATTTCTTCTGCGAATTTTACTTCAATGAACAAATTTTACATCACGGAAGGAATAGGGGAAGGGAAAACCTTGACAGAAGATCCTCATTGGCAACACCCAACATCCTCACTGCCAGCAATCCAGCATTAGTTGCATTATTAACTGCGACAGTGGCAACCGGGACACCTCTCGGCATCTGCATAGCCAACAAATGTATTTGTAAGCAACAAAAGACTGTAGTGTTTGGTTAGATATTTTTGACTTCTTAACTTTTATAGTAGCTCTACTTTTGAGCTTTTGTTCAATGAAAAAAAAAACTTTATTTTTAAGCATTTATTTAAAATTGTATTCAACTCAACTTTTCTTTTAAGAAACTAAGAAGCTGACCCAAACACTATGTACATGTTACAAATCAACTTTAATAATTGCAAAAGGTCACTGTTAGTGCAATATCCCAAGTTCTACATCAATTGAACACGATGACTCCACTTTTGTTAATTCATGTCAGGTTACTCAAAACAGAGATCAAGCAAAGGCAAAATGAGGGTAAACTTTGAAGATGGCCAAAAGGGAACCAACTCTAGCTCGAATGAGGCTGAACCAAAGAGGTGATAAGAGGATTGTGACAACAAATGTGACTCTGTACAGGACACAAGCAAAATATATATTAAAAAAAAAACAGAAAAGCTGAGAATGCACTAATGCAGCAAGAGGAGGGGCAAAGCAAAATGATTATTGAAAGGCTTTGAGCGTCTAATAAGCACAGCAATTAACTAATTGTCAGCACTAATTCTCAAGTGCTTTAGGTGGTAGCTGAACTGATCAATTACTGCGGCATTGAAATAATATATGCTTTTAATAAATTGCTCTGAAAAACATAACAAGGTTACTTTTAGAAGCAAACATCTACATTTATTACCATTAGCTTTTTACGGAGGGCTTCCCTCATTCACGTACAGTATTTAACCTACTATTAACATTCATAAAATTACCAGAATCCTTGGTGACAACCAGTTCTAGATAGTAGAAGAAACTTTGAAACAGTGCACGTTTTAGAAAGAAACAGCAAAACCAAACTTTCTTTTTGGTGAACAAACATATGGCACAGACAGGAAAATCCTTCATTTACAAGAATTTCAATCAATATTGATCTTAAACTTTAAGAAAAAGAAGCAATAACACCAAAATCACAATCATATTACATATTCTTGACCAAGCACTAGAAAGCAATTAGAAAACAGCAAAAGTAATTATATTCAGCATGGAAAATTGGTAAGCATTGAATATTTAAACATCATTGAAAAGTGTACCTGGACAATTGACAAGAGTGAATCAAGTCCATCCAGGTTAGAAGCACGCACAGGAACACCAATAACAGGCAAAGGAGTAAGAGCAGCAACCATACCTGAGATTTGAAGCTTAATTAATGCTAACAAGACATTTGATCCTTACGATAATTATTCAAAGCAAAATTAATAAAATAAATTACCAGGCAAGTGAGCTGCACCACCGGCACCAGCAATAATGACTTGTATTCCTCGTTCATGAGCAGATGAGGCATAAGAAAACATCAATTCTGGAGTCCGGTGGGCTGAAACTATTCTTACCTGAAATTTGATACATGTATTTATAGTTAAGGATAAGCAATTTCATACACAAACCCCTCAGGGAAATTAGAACAATTTTACCTCGTGAGGCACACCAAACAACTCCAAGATTTCAGCAGCACTTTTCATAACAGGCAGATCTGAATCAGAACCCATTATGATCCCCACACGCGGAGCAACTACATTTATCAAACAAAACATGTAGTGTGAGAAAAACAAAATTTTAACTTCAAAATTTCAAATACAGTGCTCCTTTCCTCCTTAAATATAAGAGAATGTTTAATGTTAGTTTTCAATCTTTGTCATAGAGTGGATAGCAAAACAAAGAATGATTGAAAGCAATATATGGATGAGAACAGATAATATGCCATTTCAATAATCTTATTTCATAGATAATGTTTTTTTTTCTGCTCCATTTATTAGCTACTAACAACTATTTTAGTAAAATATGAGGAAGAAAAGTAATTTGTCTCACCATAGTCATAACAAAAATGCCAGTAACATTCAAATTTGTTAGATTTCCTTGGGAAAGTTTCATCATAATGATAGGGTTTTCCCAACAGACAAGAAACAACATGTTACAAACGCCTCAAGCAACAGTAGTTTTGATGCTTAGTAAATTATAGATGCTTTAAATATTACTCATATCCTAACTCTAAACCAGTAATGCAGCTATGAACTAATCGTTGTACATGTCATTGCATGATGCAATAAAGATATTAAATGAAATTGACTGTGAAAACCATCTTCTTTCGCTAGTCTAGCAACGTAAGATCAATAACAAAGATAAAGTATAAGTGAAGATAGTCTTTGTCACTAACCTGCAGGTGTGTCATCTAATTTTTTCCCTTCCACAACAATTGCAAGATTGCTCTCAATATTGCTAAGGGAAGGCCCAACAATTGTTATATGGCCCATCTTCCGTTGCTTTCTCATTTCTGACAAATTGCCATAATGGTGTTAATTACTAGTCATACAAGCTAAAATTGTTGATTAACTAGAAGTTTACCTGGCTTATCATACCAATGAATAGTAGCCCCAGGGATGGTCAATGCCCTTTGGATCAATTGATGAGCTAATCGAAAACCAAGCTCCCCCTAAAATCATTTAGCAAATTTAATGGATTATTGAATCTGAAATAATGGTAACTGAATATAACGATTTTCTCAAAACAAGTAAATGAACTAAAGGGAGCACCAAATAGCCTTTAAGTGCATAACCATCATCCAACTATGAACCAAATATATAACATAAAAAAAGTCAATCATTTCTGTTTGGGTACTCCACAGCAGAGAAAATTTTAAGTCTAATTTGACTTTCATACATTCTGACAAATTTTAAATTTCAAATTATTCTTTTTTATATTTTCATTTTGTGCATATAATAATGAGAAAATATGATTCATTAGTAATAGCACCACTCTTTCAACCATGCACCTATAACAATAACAATAACAATAATAATGAATCCTAAACAACATCATAACATCACTACAACAAGGATGGGAGAAAACCAGACATTTTATAGATTTATGACAAAGGTGAAAGGAATGGAATGGAAAACGAGGAAATAATTAATGCTAATGGTACCTCTTCTTCCCCTAATATATTGTACATGATAGCGGCTGGAACTTTCAATGATGCATCACCAAGTGGAAGACCAACGACAGCCCGCAAATGTTGCTCATATTGCGAGGTATAACATGATTCAATTGTGTGATGCCCACTATTATGAGGTCTAGGTGCTACTTCATTTAATAAAATCTGTGAAGAAGGCGTGGTCACTATCAGGGATTAACAAACAAATATAAGGCATTTGCAACAGCAGAAAAAATTTATTAGTAAAAAGAAGTCAAAGTAGCAGTCAAGAAAAAAAAAAACATTGAGGCATGTCCAGAGTTGATGAAGGAAAAAGTCACAACCTGACCATCCTTGGTCAAGAACAATTCAACTGCAAACACACCAGCACCTTCTAGAGAGCTAACAGCATTGAAAGCAACTTCAGTGGCATGCTCCCTAGTCTTCCATTTCACATTAGCAGGAGCCTTAACTATGTGACATATGTTGTCCCTAGAACAAAACAAAAATTTTGTAAGTAGATAAATAAGGAAGCTGAAATGGTACATTGCTGATCAGATTACCATCCGAGGTTTTGAATTTAAACCTTGGAAAATCTTGATTTAAAATCTTTCATATTAATGACATGTATGTGTTTTGCAAGTTACCTGTGAATGGTTTCAACAACAGGATAGCATGAAATTGAATTGTCTCTTCCTCTTGCCACAATGACAGCTAGTTCCTGCCATTATTTTAGGAAAAAATAAGTAAGAAGATCCATAAACTCATAAATAAATGACAAAATTGGGAAGTTTTATGAAATAAAAGACAGTTTTTGGTGAATTGAAAGGCATGCTTTAAATATGTAAATAACTATAACATAAGTCTTTGAAAGGGAGAAGATTTAATAGTAATTTTGCAAGTGATGCAAACATAGAATGGCATTGGAATAAGTTACATGCCAAAACAATTCAAATTCATGAAAGGCAAACTGTTAACAGAGGCAAATACAGTAGAAACTATCACTATTGGGGAAAAGAAGGCCACCACTATCCGATGACTAGACATTTAAATGTAGGAAGTTTGTAAGACTAGACATTTATGTGTGACCAAATGTTAAGACTAAATAGGCTTTGTAAACAAACCGAGCCTAACTCACTCCCAAAAGCTAGCTCAAGGAAGGAGGATTGCTCAAGTCTTGCAAAGAGTACTTAGGCCATATACCTAGTCAATGTGAGACATCTTAGCAGTATTTAAAAATAAAAATAAAAAAACCAATAGTGTATAATTACGCTACTAAGTACAGAACAACTGACAATTTGTGGGCATACTCTAGTGAAAAGCACGCAACAGTCTTGTGCATGAAGACCAATGAAGAACATACTCAAGCCTAAAGTAATAAGTGTAGTTTTTACCAATAAATAATTTGGTGATATATTACTTTTTAGATAAAAAAAAAAAGAGGGCTGCTAATGAACAACTCATTTAAATTGTGACATGCAATATGATCCCTTACTGTCCAGCTAAATTAATAAAATAAGTATTAATCAGGAAGAGGGACACGGAAAGAGAAGATATGGGTGTCAAGGTGAAATCGAGAAACTAGGAAAGTTGCAAACTTCAAGTCAGGTACATATTTCCACAAAATGAATGCCAAAATAGTAAAATAGGATTTTTGAGATGGCATAAACATGCCTTTTAACTATATTCCTTCTAATCAACTCTCCCTCTTTAATCTCAATCTCACCCACAATCAAATTTCTTAATAAGTAAAAATGACAGGCCTCGGCAAGCAAGAAAGACTAAAATGAAGAAACTAAGTGTGAAAATACTTGTATTCTAGTAACAGGTCTTAATCAAGGGAGTTCAGATCCTGGTATATTCTTTGAACAATGATTTAAAAAAAATAAAATAAAATTTTAAAAAAATTCTTAGACAGTTTCAAGAGCGTCTAGTCTCTCCCAGCCCAGGCCTAATTCCAGGCTCCAGCCTACCTCTCATACACCCTTCTCTGGTTTATATTCAATATCCTTACAACAAACCCGCAAGCACTCTTCCCACGCTCTGCTACTTATCTCTCTCTCCTAAAACTGATCGTGTGCACCACACTTTTTGCCTAATACCTTAGTGATATTGGGCCTTGGCATCAGAAAATCATTCTTCATAAAAATATTCATTTCACTCTTCTGAGCTCTGATACTAATAAGCAGCAAAATTTTCTAGATAAGAGAAAAAGAAACCATAAATGAACACTTCATTTTTTACCTAAGCTTCTCGATATTATATTATTCCAAGAATGTAAAAGTAATGTCCGAGACCATTTTGAACCAGTGCCACAGCAGATGAAGAAGTAAATGTGAACATGTATGCAATATTTTTTTTCTTGGGCTGATCAATAACCATAATTAACAATCCTTTCAAAGAACTTAATAAACTGACCACAATATGCACAAATTCTAGATTTGTTTGCTTAACACCAGCAATATCACCTTCCATCATACAATTAGTGAATAATGGATTGAAAATCACCATCAGCAATGAAAATATAGATATTAACCTTGACAAAAGGGGCCCATTTTTCAGCATATAAACCACGGTTGAATCCTCCAAGAGCTGCAAAATTGGGGGAGGGGAGGAGGAGTTAAAGAAGAAAAAGGTTAAAACGAAAATGCAAGCATGACAAATAGGAAGAAGACGTCTTTTCTTTTGGCTAATGAAGGCAAGTATGAACTCAAAGATGAGTTTTTCCTGTTCCCCCTTTCTCAAAAAAATTGAAAAGTAAAAAATGCACCTCTAAAAAACTAATTACCAGCCACAGCAGAAGGAAGTTCCTCTTCACTTTTTGCAACAACATTCCCTCGCCCATCATAAGCTAATCTCCTACTCTTGAGCATAAGGGGATATCCAAAGAGTTCCCCAACTTTCCTAGCACCTTCAAGATCATCTATCTGTTCAATGTATTATGCACTTCTTCAATTAGTATCTTAAAGATGAATTTTCAAATACTATTATAACTAAGATAAATAGTACAAACCTTCATAAATTCAGGAAGCGGAATGCCATGTTTAGAGAAGTGAACCTTTTGCTGATACTTATCCTATAAAATGACAATAGTCATGCCAAGGAAACCATTCATATAACAACATTACTCTTAACTTTAAGAATATTGAAGTTATCAAGTCTATGATGAGGTGAAAATTTGTCCTGCTGTAACGGCCATGCTTTGTGCATAGCGCGGAAATATCTAGTGATTCAACTTTTCGATTAATACATGCAAAAACCAGAAAAATAATTACCTGAATAATTCGTATTGTAGAGGCTTTGGGCTGGCAGTCAACCCCTTGTTTCTCAAGTTTTTCCAATGTATCAACATCAACATGCTCAATTTCAACAGTCAATACTCCACATCTGAACATCACACTTTCCAATAAGTGACAACATAAAATATAAAAACTCAAAACAATATGAATTACAAAAAAAATCTTGAACCTCTTGGCAAATTCCTCAACTGTAGCGCTGTCATCAAAGCTTCCAACCATATGATGATATGAGAAGGAACTAGCCGGGCAGTTCTCCTGTGGATCCAAAACCACAACTTTAATGGCCATCTGAGAAGCAGCTTGGCACATCATACGACCAAGTTGCCCTCCTCCGAGAACCCCAACAACCACTTCAGATAGTCCATGAACAGGTGACTCATCATTACTACACACACCAATACCAAATTTTGGGATTTTGATGTCACTTTAAGTTTCAGAAACTTCAAAAGACTAGAAATTTTACATTCATCCGCCTAAGTAAGAGAACACTGAGAAAAGGGCTAATGCCGCGACAAGTGAAAAACAAACCCCATAAATAAAAATGAAAATTTTAACCTTAGAGAAACTGCAGCATCCTGTGTTGTAGCCTGACAAACGAGGTGAGGCTGATGACACTGCTTTAGCTTCAAAGGAAGAGATTGCTCCATGTAGAAACCAAGTGAAGGGGTTGTCTTAATAGAGGGAATACAAGGTTTGAAGGCAAAAGCTGAGACGCTAGTGTGCCCTGACAACACTACGCGCGCACTGTGAAGCATATTCAAACCTCAGTTTTCGCAGCAAACACCTTCCTAGTCCGTGTGCCTTGTCTTGGGTGACTTTTTTCATACATAACACAACACAAACCAAAAACAAAAACCCATTTGGCTTAGAAGGAAAGCTGAAAAGAGATTCCTTCCAAAATAAAATAAATAAATAAAGAATTATCGTTGCTTGTTATTTCCCAACAAATGCAAAAAATACATATTTAACTTTTAGGATGCCATACCAATGGCAAAAATGAACGATTCCGTCCCTTCCCGCCCTGCTTTCGTTGTCCTCAACAACATCAATGCCGCGGTAGCTCTTGGCTGTGTTCGACATATTTTTGGGATAAAAAAAAAAAAAAAAAAACCTATAATTTAATTGTTTAATATCGTGCCGATTTTATTAAAAAAAAATTGAAAAGGCATTGTAATTGACATTGACGTTTTTTCCTAGTATTATATTTTAACTATTTAAAAATTGAAATAATATAGTTTTTGTAAACACAGGCAAAGAGTCCTAAAGGAGTGGAGTGAAAATAGTGTGAAACTAAAAGGAATAGATACCTGAGAAAAATGGGTGGAGAGAGGAAGAGGACCAAAGCAGGAACCACTACTCGACGGATATACGTAGTTCTCACGAAAACGAAGCTCTTCTTAGTTCTTAGCTGCTGAAATCAAATCACAGTTTTTATAATTAATCAAGTGAGGTTTGGTTGAATTTGTTTTGAGACGACGAGGAGGTAATTATTTTTTTTTATTTTATATTATTATATAAAAAATATTCTTTTTTAATAATTACTTTGGTTTCTATTTTTATATAATTATTTTTTTATTTTTTTATTTTTATCAAATATCTAAAATGTTTATCGTTGTATAACGTAAGATGAATTAATTCAATCCAAATAAAAAAGAAAGATCAACTATTCATAATAATAAAAGTTATCTCTTAATGTATAAGGAAAGTATAGAGGGATAAATTAAACCTAAAATCCTCAATCCTATATAATCTTTATAATTCTTATTTATTCTGTTCTTTTTGTGTTGTTCTTAGTATTATATTTTTTATGTTTTCTTTTTCTTTCTTCTTAAATATGATGAGCAAATAAAACAAAATAGGTAGGAGAGAGAGAAATCTGTTCAATCCTTTTCAAACAATTAAATGAATTCAATAATTCTTCAAGGTGTGGGAAACTCTATCAGTCGAGTCCTTGCAAATTTGCTAAGCTCTTGGGAATCCAATTTTCTAACCTTATTTACTCAACCTGCTTAATCTTTTTTCAAGTTGAGTGATTTTATCCTAAATATTGTTGTATGTCTTTGATTCACTCAATCATTTTTAAAACAATTGAGTAAATTTGAGTATTTTGAGACTTTGAATCTTTATTGAATCTTGTAAAACATAAAACAAGGGTTTTAAAGTATAATTTTCACCAACTCTTTATAAGCTACTTAATTACACACCCTTTTAGTTTTTCTAATATTTTAGGGATTAAAATACAAGTTTCTTTCAAATCTAGTCAGATAAGTGTCAGTTTAATCAAATATTCAAAGTAAAATATACACTTGCCACTTAGTACTCAACAATGTTTGTAAAACTTTAAAAGTGTTAAGCCATGAGTTTAAAAAATTATAAATTAATTAATTAAGTGAAAGTATTTAGTAAAAATAGTTGATAAGCTAATTAATTAATATAGAATGACATTTCTTTATAACATGTTTATTTATTTGATAATGAGAGTGGAAGAATAACAAAGAAGGAAAAAGGATTTTTAGATTAAAATTATAAAATAAAATAAATTAAATTAATGAGTTAAAAAAAATGGAAAGCCAAAAGCTTATAAATTATAATTTACTTTTATAAAATTCAATGAAAAAGAGATACTTAATACCTTTATAAATTTTGTTTAAAAATAAAAAATAAAAAAATAGTATAGATTACAACATGCAAATCAAGTGAGATAATGTATATTTAGAAAAATGGTAAAATAATATTAAACAAATATAGAAATAATAGGTGATTACAAAAGTGGATAGTTATTAATAGACTAAAATTGTTCAATTAAAATTTTAAGAACAAAAATTGTACAATTATAAGAGATTAAAATCGTACAATACTTAAGGCATAAAGAAAATTTATTTGAAGTTTTATTCTATTTTACCTTTAGGAAATATAATGGTGGGAAAATAACAATCTATACTATATATATATATATAATATAAATATATATTATATATAAAGGGGATACTCCCATTGATTTCAACATTTTTTAAACTTTTATATCCTTTTTTATTATTTGTGTGTTTAAATGAGAGATTTAAGAGGACAAATCATTATTTTTAAGAATTTCAAATATTTTATGGCGAAATATTTTGTTTGGACGATAAATTCTTAAAAAATTTGAAATTCAACTATTTGAGAAATTTTTAAAAATAGTAGGATTTCAAATATAAAAAAAATGTAAGAATTTAAATTTTTTATTTTTTTATTTTTTTTATCTCACTTATATATTTTTTAGCTCTTTCTGTTAATAAAAAAGTATCAATAATATTTTTTTTAAATTATAAAATATTTTATTTTTAAAAAAATATAAAATATTTAAAAATCTCAAATGTTTATTTTATAATGTTTAATTTTAAAATTTGAATATATATATATATATATATATTAAAAATCAATTTTTTATTGTCATGTAAATTAATTGTCATATTCAAATTAAGAATTAAAATTTTTAAAAATTTAAATTATTTTATTAAAATAAAATATTTAATGAATGATAGATATTAAAATTAAAATAATACAAAATTTAAGAGTTTCAAATTTTTTAAATTTCCAGAATACCCCATCGAAAAACAACCTTAGTTTTGTCATATTGGTTTATAAGTTGGTAAAATTAATTTATAAACTTCTGAGATGTGGTACCAAACTTTTTTATAGAGTGGATATTCAACATATATGGAGAGAGAATAAAACTCAATTTTATCATGTTGTTTTTTAATTCAACACTTTCTGTATGATAAGAAAATATATTTGACAACATGAAGTTAAAAAATTATTTTAATTATTGATATTTTTTAAAAAAACATTAGAATTTAATGCAAAAAACTAAAATAATGACTAAATTGTATTTTTGATATACATTTTTTAATATGTATTTTTATTCTTCTATTTTAAAATAGAAATATTTAATCATTTTATTTTAAAAAATATAAAATTTTGGTTACACTTTCAATTTAATATTTGTTAATCATCTAATTTTAGAGTTATTCAGTAATTTGTCACCTTCTTAAATAATATATAGTGACGTAACATGTAAATATTAAAATAAAAATTAATATAAATTTTTTTACTTATATATATTTTAATTTGAGATTATTTATTTTATTAATAAATCTTATTTATATAATTTTTTTTTATCTTTAAACATTATATTACTAAATATTACATAATGAATAAAGGTTAAAATTTAACAATTAATAGATAATATAATGGAAACACTAAAATTTTCTATTTTTAAAATTAAAGAAACAAAATACTTATATATTTAAATTCAAGGGCTAAAATTGCTGATTAATAAAGATTAAAAATCAAAAATACAATTTATCTTAAAATAAAAAAAGAAAAGAGATTGAAAAATCTCTAAAACACTATCACTAAAGAAGATTAGTTAAATACGCCGTAGCTGAATAATAGTTCTGATAAACACTTCTATATAAGATTACAATTTTAATTTATATTAAGACAGTGATTAAATCAATTAAATGAAAAAAGGTTAATAAATAGAGGAAGATTCTAAACCTTAAAATCTCGAAATATTAAAAATTGAAAATGAATAGTCTTGGGTTGGTTTAAACTGCAAAAGACAAATTAAATAACTGAATAGTTTGCTTTGAGTTTGAAGTAAACTAAATTGACTGAGTAAAACAAATCCACATCTCTATCCACAAAATTAATTAAAATGTTGGGTTTACTTTAATAATTTAAGTATTTTTTTTTGGAAAGAAACAAAGGGATGGAAAATAAGTGACAGGGTAAATTAGAAATAATAGTTTATAGAATGAAAAAGAGGATTAAAGATTACTAGTAGGGTGTAGTAGGGCAAAACAGTAATTCCTTGAAAGAGAAAAAAGAAGAGGTTGAATTCCTTTGACCTAAATACCCTCTTTTTGTGGATAGCCCCAAACCTGTATTTCCCTTCTCAGCCCTCACAAGCGATGCTTCTGCTACCCCTCTAATTCCCAATCTTCCTCTCCTCTCCTTACCCTTCTTCTTCTATTTCCGATTTTCTCCACCTCCCCGCCAATTTTCCTCAACCTCTTTTCAAATTTCTCTTCCTTCTCCTTCAATTCACAAAACCCCTTTGATCCGCACTGAACCCTCGCCGTACTGCATTTCTGACCATTACCCACCTCCCCTTTATGTTTTTCCAGATCCTAAACCCATGGTTTCACATCCTTTTGGGGAAAGGTGAAAGCTTTCAGGTAATTTTTCCGTTATTGTGAATCTTTTAATCATTTGGGTGTTGTGAATTCTCATGGGTATTGGTAAATTTTTCTTTTTTACAGTCAATTCAATTATGGCTAATGGACGTGATTTATGTTTTCGTGAAAGTTTGTGTTTTTTTGGTTAGTTCACTTACCTGTAAAGCTGTCCCGCATTACATTTCTTATTTTCATTTTTGCCTCACTACCCTAATGTTACTACAGTCCAACTTAAGTTAATTGGAGTCTTAAGTTCAATCCCTATTTTGTTTTTCTTGTATAGTTTTAGTGAGTTGAGTTTCTCAGGAATGTCACACGTTCTCTTCAATTAAAAGGTGACGATTTTTGTTCTGTGGTTTAGGAATTTAGTTCATGTAATTTGAATTTGTTTCTGGATGGTTATCAATTAATAGAAGTGTGTGAATGGTATGTTTGTGGATGTGGGTTCTGTGTAACTATAGATTTGTGTGTTTGTAGTTACCAACTGTGCAATTGTAATTGTAAATTAATAGCTAATGTTGCATTTTGGATGCTCGTTTTGGACTGGCGTACAAGCGTCATTTCAAGAGCAATATCAGGTTGCTTCTGTGTTTTTTGTATCATTTGGCGTGAATATGTGGCTGATTACTCGTTTTTGGTATGCTTTGTGAATTGAATACTCGTATGCTTTTTCTTTGTTTCTTTCTGGTGATGCATACAATTCAAGATTTTTAACTTTAATGTGTTGGACAGAGGATTGATATGGTTTATCTGACTTGTCTTTTGTTATCTTTGGGATCTTGCAGCAGTGTCTCAGCCATAAAGCCGTTATTTGTGTATTAAGCTGAACAACAGTTTTTTTTTTTGTCGCTATATATAGTGATTTATAACTTCGATGGCCAACCATGATTTGATACTTGGTCAGAGTCACAATTTAGCACTTGGTCACGATCAGCAATTGGTGCTGGGCCATAACCATAATATGGGCCTCAGCCAGAACCATGCATTGGAAATGGGATCAGCCCATGAGCATCATTTAGATCTGGGACAAACCCATGATCATGAACTGGGTTTGGGACATTCCCACGATCATGAATTGGGGTTAGGACAGAACCATGATCATGAAGGTGATGATGGTCACACTTATGAACATGAGCATGAGCTAGCCATGGATCAAAAACCTGAGCATGATGACCATGATTTGCCCCTTCCTGGACAAAGTCATGAGTTAGTGCTATCAGATAACAATGATTTGACTGTTTCAGAGAACCAAGAACTTGATGAGAACATGGCCCTGGCTGTGGTTCAGAACCCAGAAATGGGAATTGATTCAGCAAATGATATGGATGTTCAACAGTCACAGCTTGTGGTCGTTTCCACACCCCCACCTATAATTCAGATGCGTACTGCAAGTCCTAGTTATGAATTATCAGTGGGGCAAGAATTTCCGGATGTTAAGAGTTGCCGAAGGGCATTGAGGGATACAGCAATTGCTCTGCACTTTGAGATGCAGACCATAAAATCTGACAAGACCCGCTTTACTGCTAAATGTGCTAGTGAAGGATGTCCCTGGCGCATTCATGCAGCTAAGCTCCCAGGCGTTCCAACTTTTACTATAAGGACAATTCACGAGAGTCATACATGTGGAGGAATTTCTCATCTTGGCCATCAGCAAGCTTCAGTTCAGTGGGTTGCTAATTCTGTGGAGCAAAGACTGAAGGAGAACCCTAATTACAAGCCAAAGGAAATATTGGAAGAGATTCACAGGGTTCATGGTATCACCTTATCATACAAGCAAGCATGGAGAGGCAAGGAGCGTATCATGGCTGCAATGCGTGGATCTTTTGAAGAAGGCTACCGCTTGCTTCCACAATACTGTGAACAGGTGAAACGCACTAATCCAGGCAGTATTGCATCCGTTTATGGAAATCCAGCTGATAATTGCTTCCAACGTCTCTTCATTTCCTTTCAAGCATCTATATATGGATTTTTAAATGCTTGTCGGCCACTCTTGGGGCTTGACAGAACATATTTAAAGAGCAAGTACCTGGGAACATTGCTTCTTGCTACTGGATTTGATGGTGATGGGGCTCTCTTTCCTTTGGCATTTGGAGTTGTTGATGAGGAGAATGATGACAATTGGATGTGGTTTCTCTCTGAACTTCATAACCTGCTTGAGATTCACACTGAAAACATGCCAAGGCTTACTATTTTGTCTGATAGACAGAAGGGAATTGTGGATGGAGTGGAAGCAAATTTTCCAACTGCTTTCCATGGATTTTGTATGCGGCACTTGAGTGACAGCTTCCGGAAGGAATTTAATAACACTATGCTTGTGAATCTTCTATGGGAAGCAGCGAATGCTCTTACTGTTATTGAATTTGAAGCAAAAATTTTGGAGATCGAAGAGATATCACAAGATGCTGCATATTGGATTCAAAGAATTCCACCTCGTCTTTGGGCCACTGCCTATTTTGAGGGACAAAGATTTGGTCATTTGACAGCCAACATTGTTGAATCTTTAAACACTTGGATATTGGAGGCATCCGGACTTCCAATAATTCAAATGATGGAATGCATTAGAAGGCAGCTAATGACTTGGTTTAATGAGCGCCGAGAGACCAGCATGCAATGGACATCAATACTCGTACCTTCTGCTGAGAGACGTGTAGCAGAGGCTCTTGACCGTGCACGTACATATCAGGTTCTTCGTGCTAATGATGCCGAGTTTGAAGTAATATCTCATGAAGGAACAAATATAGTTGATATCCGGAACCGTTGCTGTCTTTGTCGTGGCTGGCAGCTCTATGGTTTGCCCTGTGCACATGCTGTGGCAGCACTTCTCTCCTGCAGGCAGAATGTCCATAGATTCACAGAGAGCTGCTTTACTGTTGCTACTTATCGGAAGACATACTCACAAACCATACATCCAATTCCTGATAAATCTCTCTGGAAGGAGTTGTCTGAGGGGGATGCCAATGCCAGCAAAGCTATAGAAGTTGTTATTAATCCTCCTAAATCTCTCAGGCCACCTGGCAGACCAAGAAAGAAGCGAGTTCGTGCTGAAGACCGCGGACGTGTTAAGCGAGTGGTGCATTGTAGTCGTTGCAATCAAACAGGTCACTTTAGAACCACATGTGCAGCTCCGATTTAAGTTACTGAATTAATAAATTGGACAGCCTTTAGTTATGTTATGTTCTCTCTATTTAGGCTTGATAGCTTAGACTGGCGAGTAAATGATGTATGTTATTTACTTGACATTAATGTGAATTAATTTGTAGCGGATACTCTCTGTATATCCTCCAATAATTGGCATTTTTCAATAACGCATACAGTAATGGCATGATTTTTGTTCCTAGGTTTGTTCAAAGGTGTATCCTCTATATTTTTTGTGTCGGGCGGGGGGAATCTCTACTAAGCCAATGGCCTCGTGACTTAAGTGCTGCTTATTCAATTCGTGAACATTGTCCCTTTTGGTCTTTTAATATAAACTACACTAAATTTGTCTACATCAAATTGGTCTTTTCATGCCGTTTTTGGCCACCAAATTAACCTTAAGAATGGTATGCAGCTGGTCTTTGAATAGCAAAATTCATAGCATTAGTTATTGTCAAAACTTAGAAGAATAAGTTGATGTCATTGATAATGTTATCAAATACAATTTAAAAGGATCAAAATGATTATTTACTTTACATTTTAGGTCGGAATGGATTTTTATTTATAAAGACATTTTTTTTTTCGTATTGAAGTTACGTTGATGCGAAAGCCTATTTAGGAAATTCAATAAATAAAGACACCTCGCGGGCAATGATACTCCACTGATAAAGAACCAATAACCCAAGTTGTGTAATTACAGCTTGTCGCCATAGGAATTTTAATCACTTCTTTATAATAATGCAAAAAAAAAAAAAAAAAATGATTTTTGAAGGTTTTGGTAAGTTAAAGGAGACTAAAAATTTTGTGGCAATGTGTAAACTATATGAAATCGGCTTTTCTCTGCTGAAATTGCAATGGGAAAGAGAATTATGTTAAGGGGTTTGCTATGTGCTCATCTAATGCTTGTTTCCAAGTTACCATTTCATATGTAGACCAAAAAGAGAAAGAAAGAAAATGTTATCAATTCAAAATTCATATATACAGATTGGGAACCTTCGCTGCATTCTTTATTTTTCCTCGTTCTCTGATGCATTTTGCTTTGTTTGTGTTTTAAGGCTGTTTCGTTATCTTTTTAGGTGTACTTTCTCTCCTTTTATCTTCAATTAAGTCTCTTCTGCCTTAAGAAAGTATTTGTTGTTTAGTTTTGTGCTTATTTATTTGAGTAGTTCAAGACTGCTGCTACATACAGCTACAATCCGTAGACTTGTGAAGTAAGAACACTGTCAAAATATTTATCCAGAGAATTGTGTGTTATTCAATGAAATAGTAAAGAGTATAAATGAGAAAAATTAAACACATGTTTAATAAGCAAACTGCAATATCTAAAAGTGAAGATAATTCGCTTGTATAACAATGTGTTTGTTTATTATAAGGAGTAAATAGTTGACATTTGTTGCACGCGGATAGATTTCAATATTTCGTTGCTAAACCAAATGGAATTGTTTTAGTCATTTATTGATAGAGTTGACAAAAACTAAATAAGGAGAAATTATTAGGTGGTTTTAAACCAACATTGCTTTCATTTATATTTGTTGATGTAAACTCACCTGTAAAATATCTAAAGTAATGGGAAAAACCGCATATAACCTGAAAATCTCTGTAGTGGCACAGGACACCACCTCAGAATCAAAGCAGGTTGGATGAAAGTCATCAGAGATGTACTCATCATCATATATGTGCAGTGAAGAAAATACAATTTGAATTGATGATGGAAATAAGAGCTCTACAACTTTGACCACTCATTGCTGCCTTATCATTGTAATTTTACGACCCTTATCTACTCCCCTATTTACGACTATGAATGCAAACAGTACAAAAGCCTCGGAATGTCAACTATAACAGTTTCACATTGACCGAACTGTCATATATTTGTCACTTATTGTCATCAGCAGCTGCTTTTGATGCATCAGTTGTGTTAGCAGGAGCCATCAGATTATCAAACTTCTCAGATTTCCCCAGCACAATTTCAATCTAAAACATGAAGAAAAAGAGATAAAGCACCCAAACAAAGGCTATAAATTATTAAGTGATTCTTGACCACATGAGTCTTAATTGTTTTCTACACATGACATATAGTTTCATCAATTTTTTCTTGTAAATTTAAGGACTGAATGCATGTCATGTAGATATTAATTGGAGCTGTGGATATAGTGCATTACTACCTAATAATTTTTCCAAACTGAGGAGTGAAATTTAAGAAAAACAGCTTAAGTCTAAACTAAAATTCAAAAACTCATTTGGGAACTCACTTTTGCCTTCTGTACCAGACGGCCTTTGTTCTCATCTTTCATGCCAACTGTAGATGTCAATACTTCTGTTCCACGGCAAGATTGATATTGATTAGAGTAGCTACAACCATCATGCAAAGGGGAGTAGTGGAAAAGAGGAAGAAACCTTACTCTTCTCAGTGGCAAGTCCATTGTTCTTCAAAATCTCGGCAATCGTGACCACGGTAGCTATTGCTGCAGAAATACATGTCAACACTTTGCAAAATGACACAATGAGATGAAGCACGGACATTTGATTTGTTCAATTGATGGAAAATGTTATATTATATGAGTATGACACAATGAGACGAGGGTATAAATAAAACTCGGAATGCATAAAGAAGAAGCAAAAGTACAAAACAATCCTTACACCATGGTGAAAATAAATTAAATCCCTGAATGAATAAGCTTATTAGAAAGGATATACCAGATCCTAGATCCGAGGTCAGCATTATTTAATTGCTTACAACGTCAATAATCAATATATAGAAGGAATAAGAAGCATGTTGAATTGGAGAAAATAGGTACCCATTCCAAGAGCAGAAAGCTCAACCTCATTGTGCTGTTGTATATACCTCTGCATGAGAAAAAGGAATGATTTCATGCAGGCATTATTAATGGATGGTATATTTATATGCATGTAAATGTTTGATTTGAAGGAAGAAAAATGAAAAAAGGGAGATACCTTGGCGAGATTGACGTAAAAGAAAAGAGGTTTCTTAGTGTTGGAAACCTGGATTCTGTTCTTCTTTGGGGATTCGTTGGCAGTTACAGCAGCTACGGTCGCCATTGTATGTTTGTAATTTCTCTGTAACTGTAACGGTAAAGTAGATGAATGGGTTAGAGCCTCGCTTATATAGGTGACGGTAAGAGGACACGTGGACCGAGTAAAAATAGATAGTTTGTTACATGCTAATGCTAATGCTAATGCTACCGATTCAGATGCATCATGCATGGTCCTTATTCTTTTTCACCCCACTCCACCGCTTCTTCTGCACCACTTCCACCTCATCTTTATTAATGTATACTCAACCCACCTAACCCTAATTCATAATCATTAGTCTTTACCAATATTCTAAACATGATAGATATATAGGAATTATGTGGGTTAGTACTTTATTTTATTATATCACGCTACAAATAATGTTCTTATATTCGTCTCGTCCCCTTTAATATCGATACTTTATTGCTAACAATTCATTTTTTTTTATTGTATGACATTTTGATCAAATGTAGGAAAATAATTTTGAACTCCATTGCCTTTATATATATATATATATATATATATGAAATTAATTTAATTTAGATATATGCCTTTTCTCAAATATTTATAAAAAAATTATCACGTAATTTAAAATGAACTTATACATTTTACCTTTTTTATTATTATTTTCTTTTGTCTAACTTTAGTAGCGGAAATCAAAGGAAGAAATTGTATTGTTTAAGAGAGATTATGCATAAAATAAAATAAAAAAACTTTTAAAAAACCTAAAACTTTCACACACACAAGAAATTTTGAGGTAGTTAAAAACAATACAACTTTTTTCTATCATCTCTTTATTTATCTATATATTTATCCCATGGATGACTATCTTATATAAATGCGTTTTCAGATACTTCTTTTCAGTATTATCATTTGTAGGTACTTTTTTTAATAAAATATTTTTTAAGAACTATTTTACATTTTTACATAGTTCAATTTTTATCTATTAGAACAGATCTAACAGTGAAGAGTTAGGATAATTTGTACAAAAGCTTAAATTTGAATCAAAATTTTCATTATTGGAGAAAATAACAATTCAATATGATTCTCTTGGAGATTACATGTTTTTCAGTTAAGCGATCGCGACGGTTGATCGGCCGAGGCAACAGCGTGGTTACGGTGTTAATGAAATCAAGTTGACAAAATGCAGTAAAAAAAAAAAAAGAAATATAGGTTTGGCAATTGGCATGTGTAAAACTTACATCACTTTCCAAATCTGAATAAATCATTCATCGGTTAGCCTTTCATGTCTCGTCCTCGATCGTTATTATCTATCTATTTTATATATAAACAAATACTCATGTTTACAGACATGGACTCTATCTGTGTATGTATCCTACGTATAATAATAATAATAGCAAAAGATTATTTCGATATTACAAACGTGCTATAACGATTGATGATTAATTCTCCAAAATAATGCACATTATAATGCATTTTTTGTTTGTTTGTTTGGAGCATGCAGGTCAACCACAGCATAAAGGTAATCTTCATAAATGAGCCTTTTAAATAAGACTTCAATTGTATAATATAAAGAGAAACCCAAATGTGCACGGATTAATTAAAAGAATTATTTTAGAATAAAATATGTCTCTAATATGAAACTATCATAGGTAGGGCCTCAGGAGTTAAGCTAATGCACTGGCCTAAGATCTTTAGGCATACCAAATTGATTGAAAATAATGTGTGTTGGGTGATTAGGACTCTTCATGAACCGGTTTAGTTTAAATTTAAGATAAATTAAAGATGGAACCAATCAACCCTAATTGATTTGGTTTAGATGAGATTTATTAAAAAAAATAAATTATGATGTGATTAAAAATGAATATGTTTAATTTCTTTTTTTTTTTTAAAAGATGAATATTTATTTTTTAAAATATGAATAAATATATTATTTTATCCTAAAATTTAAATAAAAATTATTATTAAAATAATGTAAATAATATTTAAGTGTCCATATAAAAATAATGTAGAAAATATGAAATTAAGTAATATATTTAATGTAATCTAACATTTAAGAATACTAGACCCTATACTAGCAGCTTCACCTCATTACTAACATCTGGTGTGGACAAGCCTATAAAAATTAAGAATACAAAGTTAAACACATAGAACAATAATTAAATAAACACAAATCAATAAAATGATAATATTATAAAATAATATTAAAATAATAATTATAATTATAAGATAAAATAATAATAATTCTAATTAGTTTGATTCTCATATTATCGGATTTATAAATTACAAATTTGTAATCCCAATGAATTAAAGTCATATTTATTTGATTTGAATTAATTTTGAGTCGATAAATAAAAAGTAAATCAGTTTAATTAGTTTAATTCGAATCATTAGTTTGAGATTATTCAAACTAAAGAATATTCCAACAAGTGACACTTGTATATTCATTAATATTGAAATGTAGAATACAATTAATATAGTACACATTTAATTAAACTCAAAATAGAGGGGAAAAAAGGAAGTGTCGGTTGCTTAGGGAATTCTTTTGGAAAGCTAGTTGTAGTTGGTATTCTATACAGGGTTTAATTGTGAAAAAATTTATATACCATCAAACAATAAAAAAAAATTATAGTTGCAATGTTCGTACATGATTTTTAGAATGATTATTATAAAATTAGCAAATTCATTATATATTTTGTGTATATTTTAGATATCGATCCATGGTTGACTACTTTCTAATAATAAATAGGATAAAATGTTGAAATTTATATAATACATGATAATATTCATAATGATATGATTTGTAGAATAATATTTATAATAATATGATTTGTGAGACAATAATTATAATGATATGATTTGTGGATGATTAATAATAATAAATAATATTTCGTGATTTATGGGATTATGATAAAAATATGAGATTCACTCTCAATAAAACATATGAACATTTACGTTTAGATCAATAAATTATATTTTTAAATATTTTAAATTGGGATATTCACTAAGTCTTTTTGGAGAAGATTCCATATTGGAATAACTTACAAAACAAATTTTATTTTATTTTATTTATTAAAATTTGCAATTACATTTTACAAATTAAAATTTGTAAAAATATTTTTCCAACTTTAATCTAATCATATCTTCAATAAAAATAATAATCATTGTAACTCAGACATAACCAATAACATATATACATGTCATGTGTGACATCCTATACCTCAGCACACCATAATACAAAATAATGAAAATAAACTAAAATACCTCATAATGTAAAAAAATTGGAATCCATATAATAGAGAGAATCACATTATAGCTTAACTTAAACACATAACAAAAATAACTAAATTACGAAGAAATTAAAATCATAGTCTTCCAACTAAACAACATGAAAAGAATCTCTAATCTAGTTCTAATTATACCCTGATGCCACATATCCTATCATAGAAACCTAACAAGAAGGTTAAGATGATGATCACTTACATAAACCACAAGAGCAGCAAATAAAGGGAGTGTAACATAGTTAGTAGACTAGAACTGGGCGTTCCTAGATTGGAACGGGTCATTCCAATCTGGAAACGCCCCGTTCCAGTCTACTAATTACGTTACAATACCGTTATGGACTACTAAATCACCATTGTTTTAGTAGTTATCTGGGAACGTCCCGTTCCAGTCTACTAACTACGTTACAGGGAGTGTGAAACATCTCACTTTGACTCACGGTGTAGGAATGCAACCAGATAGCCAAACACAACCAAACATACAATTTTACATGCATAACATATATAGGCACGAGATAATTAATATAACACTCCTCAACCATTCATAATATAATTAATTTAATAACACATAAAATAAGAGTGCATATGCAATGGACATAAGTTATGCATGTGGCGCTAGTAAAAATTTCATATTTATGCATTGTCGTTAACTACACGTAGAGTAACTTAGGAATACATGTCAAGTTAGACTCTTTATGCATTCTTATTATGAGGGCATACTACCAGGATCTGATCGGGATAGATGAATCGTGCAAGATACATCCCACACATACAAAGGATGATATTGAGACTTTCAAATCAAGTTATCCCTAAGGTTTAATCCCCAAGCTTTTACACAAGGAGATCTTTCCTAGCGGTGTATTCCATATCGTACCCTTAAAAACATTTGTATGCATATGATGCATATTGAACAAACTCAATACTCCCATCATATTACAACAATACATTCTCATGATCATATCTCAATTCATTTCATTTCATAACCACATCACAGCTAAGCCTCGCTTAGATTTCTCATTATATCAAGATCCAAGATAACACATCATCCAATCCATACATGGTTCATACATAAGTATCATATATTGTATCTTAAACTAATAAATATGACTCATGAAAAAGACAAGAAAAGAATGAGAAAAAGGAACATTATCATGAGTCACGATTGTGACTCATGGATCACAGTTGTGACGTTGTTCACGTTTGTGACTGGATCAGCGAAATCCAAAGGGTCGAGATTCAAATGAGTCATATGACTCATAGTCACGCCCGTGATTGACTAGTCACACCTGTGATGGAATCTGAGAGTGTTATTTTTGACTCTTTGGACCCCAAAACTTGTCCCTTCACCAGAATTCATCAAAAGAGACCATCCAATCAATAGAAACATTCCAAATCATGTAATAAACATTTTAACCAACACAATTCATGTATATAGTTACGTACTTGAGCGATCTTCTCATATACCTACCAATGTATTCCCTTAAGATTTTCCATAGGAACCCACAGGAGTACAAAACATGCAATTACAAGACAAGAATTCAAAATTATCAACATATGCATACAATTAACATTAATCAAAACATACAAGAAAAAACAAATAAAAATATAAAAAATTACTAATTAAATACTTATGTTATTTTTATAAATAAAAAAAAGGGTGTTACACCATGTTTCAGAGGCTTAGAGAGCTATCACAACTCTTAACTCAATACACAAATTAAAATAATTTAAAATTATTCTGATTTGAAAAATGTTTAGAATTAATCTAACTGCTCAAACAAAGTCAGAATATTTAAAAGTGTAGTTTGTTCTT